TGAACTCATAGTAAGTTGGCTTTTTCCAACATCACAATTGAAAATAAAAGCAGAAGAAAAAGAATTAGGTAGTAGACAAACAACTGCAGAATCGGCTTCTTCCACGAAATATGTGCAAGGAAGAGATATGTGCATGTCACGTGTATGAGACATGAAAATAAAGAAACTACGTTATACTCTTTCTTATGCCATCCAGCTTTCGATTAGATGAAGGTAGTTGTTGACTCATGATAAATAATTGCTACTTCAGTTTAATGATTCCAAATTTTGTGTACCAGTAGTTGACGCTAAACGATAAAGATTTTACAATTTCGTGTTGGAAACATACTATCTTTTTCCTTAGTTAAAATTGTGTGCTTTAAAACTCGTTTGTAGTTGTTGTGCGCAAAGAGAGAAAGGACTTATCTTGGGAGGAATTATTTTCTCTATAAGCCTATGTCCTACAGGAAAATTTTCCGTTTCATTTCGTCTACTTTTGAGAGATCTTTTCACCAACAAATTTCTTACCTACTTTTTGTTACAAAAATTAGCCCAACAAATTTCCCTCAAACGCATCTAATCTATGCAGTTTTCTTTTGTGGACATCTACTATTTGACTTCTGTAACGGAAAAGCACTACCACTACTACTGCTGAGCGTATAGGCACACGTCTGGTAGTAGTAGCCTGGTCTACCGAGAGTCGTGGGCATGCTAATCCATAGATATAAGTATTACTTGTGGATTATAGAAAGGAAAAGATAGTTTCATTACTGAGGAAACGATATATCGACGGAGAAAAGAAAAACGCATGCAGACTTCCACGGAACTTTAGTGACTTGTATAGTACGCTATGAAAATCCGTAGAATTCTTTGCGATATTTTCACGTTTTTAATACACATTTAAATAAAACGGGAAAATATGTTCTATTTTGTATATGAAAATCTATCTGAATTCTTTCATTCAGTAAAACCAGAGATAGAGAAAGAAAAGAGAACAATATTCAGCTACATCTACTCGTAGACTTATTTCTGATGCCTTCCCTAAGGTGCATCGCTAAAAGACAATAATAATAAATTATGATGACGTTTTGCGCAGCAACTAGATAGGTAAAACAATCGGGTACCTCGAGCATATCAAGCAGAATAAAACGCTCATCTGAATGCGCATATATTCACGTAGTTAGAACTGTCTTTTTATTCAGTTTCCCATCCGAATATATTGGAACGTTGACGGGTGTTATGTGGACAGTAGCTGGCGTGATCACATTTATACAATATGGTTTAGTGAAATTAACTGACGACATCGCCCAGTCATGGAGAGTAAGCATAACAAATCTATGACATTTAGTATTAACATTCTACTATTTAAATGTGTTATGCTTAATAGGCTTGGGTTATCATATTAACACTTGTTGTACTGATGATATCCCATCTATTTCAAATATGGTTGAAATATATTAAAGAACTGAGAACAAAATCAACTGACGAAATCATCAGCAGATTTTAAAACTGTTGTTCGCTTTTTTCTTGTTATTTAATAATTTTCGTTATTATCACTAGTATTACACAATGTTTAATACGTTTCGAACGAAAAATCGAATAATGCTGATTCAATCTTTCGTGTTTTTCATCTCTGGGAAAAGAATGAGCTATTTCAAGAAGTTATAGGAATATATTGTAATAAAGCACTAAGCTAAACTCTACTGTTGGCATTTTCGTAAAATATGACACTTAAAGAGAAAAACGGAAAAGAAACTAATATAACCTTTAAAATATACTAAATGCATCAAACAAAAATCGCTGTTTTGTAGGTTTTCAATCATGCGGTTTTCGAATTCAGTATTGTTGATAGTTATTCAAAAACATTATCGAAGCCTCATAGTTTGAAATGGCTAGTAAAATGCTTTTATTTGCGCTTTGGAACTTTATCGATTGGAATCAATGTAGTTTTAATTAACTAGTGAGGTCGATGCTATGGAATAACAAAAGTGCTCTGAGTCTTTCTCAGACCTCAGAAAACAAATCTTTTAAATTACGTATAATGAATTCAGAACGTAATTTTCTTCGAGCTGTAGATATCAGGCCATTCACCGCAAGTGATTTAAGATGATACTTTTTGGACATTACTCTGGTGGAGACAGACGAAATGACTGTTGTGGTGATGTTTATTAGGGCTATTTTCTTCTGCGTCAACAAGTGACTACAAAAGTGGAATTAAAGAAGGATTCCACCAGATTTTCATTTACTTTTGGTTCTGAATTATTTTTATTTTATTTTATTCGAAAAAAATATACGACATTCAAAAAATTAATATTCACTCGCTCATGTTATTTGTCCTGTCCCGTTGGACAGAGAACAATTTCTCGAATGCAAACTGATTGTGGTTGTTGGTAAGCAAACAGAATAGACCGAGCAACGTCTTCGGGCTCGAGAACTTTTCTCATGCTTTTCTTTCTTTCTTTGTAATCGTTCTTGATCTCATCTGATGTTGTATGATCCAATAATTCTGTTTCAACAACACCTGGTGCGATTGTGATGAGACGAACATCGAAAGGTGCCACTTCTTCCCGGATCTGATCCGTTATGGCATGAACACCAAATTTGGTTCCACAGTAAACCGCATGGTTGGGATATGTTTTTCGTCCCGCAACGGAACTAATATTAATGATCGTGCCATGTTTCCGTTCTTTCATCGATGGTAACACCGCATGGATTCCATTCAGAACGCCGATTACATTTACTTGAATCATTTGTTCCCATTCTTTTGGATCCTGAGTATCGCCCTGACCCAAAAGCATAACTCCAGCATTATTGACAAGGCAATCAACGGCTCCATATTTCTTTACAGCCTTATCAATTGCCAATTTTAGCAGGTCTCGATCGGTAACATCTACCTTTGCGCACATTGTATTTGGTAAATTTAATGCTTCCAAACGATCAAGACGTCGTGCAAGTAGCAACAATGGATGGCCGACATCCGAAAATGCTCGAGCTACAGCTTCACCTATTCCAGAACTGGCACCGGTAATAATAACCAACGATTTAGTTTTCGATGATGTGGCGGTGGACATTATTAAATCTGAAATTATCAATTTTATGTGAGAATGGCTAGTGATACGTTTAAAAAAATCTTTCCAGAAATTGTTCTTGAACGACACGAAAGGTAAAGTAAGAAGTTTAGTAAACGTTTTTGTGACATCATATTTTTCAATTTTTTATTATGTAATAAATACATTTTCCAACTAGTGAGATTATATCAGAATAAAGTGGTTTTTTAGTTGAGATTTAGCCAAAGTGGCGTCCTTGTTGCAGCGTCTTTTTAAGAATCCTAGGTGTTTTCATGCAATAAAAATGGCTGTCCCCATGATAAGTTGATTGTAATGTCTCATAGAAAGTCTCGAAGAGCTCGTTTTTGTGTTACAATCTTTATAAGACTGTGGGAGCTGAAAATTTCAAGATTTTGCTAATCTGAGTAAAATCTTACTAAAATTCAGGTTATTTTAAGTGGGATACCCCCGTCCTAAACATACTCTCAAATTTTGCCAGTTTGGAGAGAACACCTCCAAGGATCTGGGTTTGCAATAACTCGTGGGTTGGATAAGTTTTAGTGGAGTTATGGACCTTTGAAAATCACCAAAAGTCGATTTTCTCAGCTATTTTGCACCTAGTGCAAAAAGTATTTCTTGCGCAACACGCCTCCTCAGTGAAACATTCAAAAAACATTATGTTCTTGGAAAGTTGTTCATTATACTCGCTCCTATGGGAATGAGATATTGTCGTTTTAGATTGGTGTCATCATTCAGACTTTATAGAAGAATATACTGACTGGGAGAACTCAGAATAATGGCAACATCTTATCCCATAGAGGCGAGTATAATGAATAACTTTCCAGGAACAGAATGTTTTTTGAATCTTTCATTGACGAGGCGTGTTAAGCGAGAACTACTTTTTGCACTAGGTGCAAAATAGCTGAGAAAATCGACGTTTGGTGATTTTCAAAGTTTCATAACTCCACTAAAGCTTATCCAACCCACGAGTTATTGCAAACCTAGATCCTTGGAGGTGTTCTTTACAAACTGACAAAATTTGAGAGTATATTTGGGGGAAGTACCCCACCTTAAGGCACAAAGTACCCTTAAGATTTTTTTTGGATTGTATAAAAATGTGTCGAGTTCTTTCGTAGAACTATGAGTTTCAGTCAGATTTATTCATGATTTAGCACAAACTTTTCGTAATAAATCATAAATAAACTCGAAAATCCTGTTCAAATACTGTTAAGTTTCTTTTTATTAGCTGAATTAAATTTGAGTATGAACAATCTATGAGGTTTTTACACTAATCGCTTTAATAGCTGGTTGAGGAAAAAGAACTCTAGATAAACTACTGTAATGACGTTACCTGAGCTTTAACCGAACCTGATGAATGTAGCAATGTTACAGAATCTTTGACGCGTTCAATGACTAGGCAAACAAACTGCATGATGTGTTCGCTTAACATTGCTTTTGCTTTTATATTATTATGCGTTGGTAAAAAGTCACGTTTCGTAGCGAAACGAGACAACTTCTACCGTGTTCCACGCCTATGGACACATTTCAACAGAAAGGAGGAAAGAAAAATATCATTCAACAGTTTGCGAAAAAGGAGGTGACAGCTGGAAGAAAAAGAATAAAAGAAATACCTTGAAATATATCCAGAAAATCTTTTATGCTTTTAAGCTCCTTCTCACAAACATGACCAGAGTCAGAACAAAGAAGAACAGAATTTCGCGTTCTTTCTATATGCCTCTATTATCGTCACTCCTTCCTTTTTCTGCTACGATAAAATAAAATAGAGCCCTTCTCGTGCAGCAAAAAGTTGAAGAAAGAAAGTAAAGTGTATGTTGAATAAATCAAACGAAAATGAAGAAAGAAAGAAAGAAAGCAATAGAGTTTTCTCTCTTAGTGTATCTTTATCTTTTCTTGATGTCGCATGCAGATATCTGTATGTCAAACATATTATGTTTGACATACAGATGTCTGCATGCAATGTCAAGACAAGATAAAGATACGCTAAGAGAGAAAACTCTAATATAAAATGCGCTCTTTTTCTCTTTTCACAATTGCAATATGGCCCGAATACCAATGATCGCTATTTGTTCTCGTTAGATATTTAGTTTATTAGTTTAATCTAAGATGCACATAAGGCAAAAATGTAGTGAAGAAAAAAATTTGCCGTTTTTTTTAGCCTATTCGATAGAGAATTTGACGTTGATCACGAATATGTGTCTTTTACGTTTTTTGAAAACGTT